ACACCAGACCTCGGGAGGCAAATTGTTCCATAGGGTGGGGGCCACAGCAGAAAAGACCCTCTGCCTAGATCCCACCAGTCAAAATTCCTTGACCGGTGGGGTCTGCAACATGCCCCTTCTGCTGGACTGAGTGGGGCAGGCTGAAATAACCAGGGTTGTCCTACATCCTCTCTTCTTCCCAGTCAGTATCTGGTGAGTATAGAATTGATAAGGGCTACTATATCCTACTAGTTTCATCTAAGATGTTCTACAAATCCAGCTCTACATTTGACATCTGTAATGAATTCCTACAAAGAAACACTAATTACCCTGGAACTGGCTCTCAGGGCTACATCCAGGGACCTGCCCAAGGAAACAAGGATTGGGTTTGTAGGACCTTCTACCCTTACCTGCAAGACGCTCCCACATTCATGAAGGCCAACATCAAAGATCACCGTGGTGACACTGAAGGACGTGGGTCCGCAGCCAGCTGTGCCCAAGCTCAGGTCCTCTACCTCGATGAGTCTCCCAGTGCCAAATAAGTCTCTTTTCACATTCACCACCACCTGGGCCTCTCCACACTGGGCCACCACAGGTGTCAGGAGGGACAAGGCTCGTGGCTGAGAAGCATCTACCCAAGCTTGAGGGTAAGTCTCCATCCCAGAAGGTAGATACATCTGCCTTGCAGGAGCAGGAGTGCTGGCAGACCCCCAAACATAACTCCAGGGGTCCAAGGAAGCCACATCCCTGATTACCCAACAAGCTAAAACAATGGCCAGATTCTGTAAGAGCCCCATCCTGTCTGTTCAAGGAACCCCCATAAGAGACAAACAGCTGCCTAGGCTCCTTTTTATTCCAACTCCTGAAGGCCAGCCTTCCCTCACCTGCCTCAGGTAATCAGGCAGCCAATCAGCTCCCCCTTAAGGCAGTACAAACCTTGCAATGCCCAAGGAAAAGATGAAGCTTTTGGGTGATTCCCTGCAGCTGTAAACCCTCTGCTGCCAGAAGGAAGGAAGAGATGATTAACACAAGCTGACAGTTTCAGCTGCTCTTCTGAAAGTACTTTCAAATTTACATAAGGCCAAACAGAACATGATCAACAGGTTTGAATGCTGTAGCTACATGGGAGAGACCTGGAGCAGAAAGGATAGAAGCCCCCAGCCCCAGTTTAGAAACCGGGAGGGGAATTTGAAGCAGGTCCATCACATCCTGATGCTGCAAGACGAGAGTGAGGGCGTCTCAAGAAACTCCTGGAAGTAAAACCCAAAGCAATAATAACAGATGCTCAACTTTCCTCTGGGTGCTTAATGTGACTTATGTGAGAGTCTCCCCTAATTTTATCCCCACAGGAACAACCTTATAAGGTAGGCTGAGGGAACCTGGCTGCCCCCCTTCCCAAGTTCTGAGGTCAGGTGGGGAATTTGAACCCAGGTCTCCTGGTTCTAAGTCTAGAATGGTGTTTCTCAACCTTGGCAGCTTGAAGATGCGTGGACTCCAATTCCCAGAATTCCCTAGCCAGCATACTGCCTGGGGAATTCTGGGGGTTGGAGTCCACACATCTTCAAGCTGCCAAGGTTGAGAAACACCGGTCTAGAACCTTAACCACTGCCTTGTACTGGTTGTAATAATAACTCGAAAGGCAGGATATACATTTATATTATTGTTTCTATTATTACAATACTGTCCATGCTGGATATCAGGGGTATGCAATAGGTAACCCGTTCAAAGGGGCTGTTACGGGGGGAAAGAATTTATTTATGCATTTGTATGGCTGCACAATTCAAACTCTGCAACTCTGGGTGGTGGTTTCTGCAGTGCAGCTAAACGTGGTTTAAAATGCTATATTGCCTCATTCCACTTAGCTGGGTTCATACATGTGGAGGCTTAAATAAGTCCTGGTTTACAAATCACAGTAGATGGGTTCATACAACACATTCAGCCTCACCCAAATCAACCCCATTATGGCCAAACAGGATGTGAACTCGGTTTGTCAATGCTCTACTGTCTTGGGTGTAAGAGGAAATGTTAGTTCTTCCTTTGGGTTGGCGAGGAGTACGGAAGAGGAATAGGAGCCTCAGGTCCCCAACTGCAAAATGATCTTGGTTTGATTGAATGTCATGACTTGGATTTGTAAATTATGTTCAGCCGTGATGCTGCTTGTTGTCTTCAGTGTTTTGTGGCATAAACCTAGACATTGTGGTTTATAAACAATGGCTTAGCATGTTGCTTGAACTCAATCAACTGGGGTTCATCCCAGTAAGCCACAGTTAAGCATTTGAACATTTGTGTGAGAGGGAAACTAGCTTACTTCTGGAAAGGATCAGAAATACCTGGGTTGGTAACTTCTAGACTGCTGTTCTCCTTAGAATCTAGCACCAGGTTGTCTCTGTCATCTACCCCAAAGTGGAGACAAACCCATGTTAACCAGCCTGTTGCAGCAAAACCAGCTTTGGGACAGAAGAATGAAAGCACCAGAAACGGGTGGGTAGGATTAGCCCTTTTTAAAATAACAAGGTTATTATGCATGCCATAACTGAATTAGACCAATTCAACAGGAGAAGTGTACCTCCATAAAGACATATGATCAAGAGACAGCTTCACCTGAGGACTGTTGGCCTGCCACGCAAGTGTTAAAAGCCAGGGAGCCTCTTTACCCACATTCCCCAAGATTGTAATAAGGCTAAAGGGGGAAGGAAATCAAATCCTTCGATCTAGCACAGGGCTACCAGGTCTCGGCTGCCAAAATCTAGACCTCCTCTAGATGGTAGCAGAGTTTCAGAGTTTTTGATATTGTATCTCTTTGCTGCCCTCTACTGGCTGACTGAATGCTCTGGTTTAGCACATTATGCAAATCTAGCTCTTGGAGATTGTCATCCATGATTTATTGGGGTTTATTCAACAAACCATAGTAAAGCAATCCTTGCTTGAGGCCACCGTTTGACTGAATGCAGTACAGTAGTGGGTGATCAACCACTTCCAGATGTTTTGGATTCTAACACCTATCAGCTCCAGCCAACGTTGCCAATGACCATGGAAATGTAGTCTCCTATGGAAGGCCACAGGTTCCCCTGCTTAGTCCCTTCAATATAGCACTGAGACATGCAGGATAAAAAATATTCCAGTGTTTCAAAGCATATTACCTATAAAAATATTGATATTTTGCTGAACTACTTAATTTCTTATATACTTGCTTATATATACTTAATAGCTGTATAAAAAATAAAGTTGCCCATGCTTAGCAGCCATAGTTCATATATGGCTCATAGTTTACTACTATGCAGACCCCCTGGCTTCTTTAAAGAAATCTAACACTAGAGATGTTTTCGCAGAATGTGTGAACTCAGCCACCGATGTGACTTGCAGGGTTAATTCTCTGTTGGAATTGGAATTCCCTATCCTCTGGGTTGGGTTCACATCACACAAGCTACAAATAAACTATGATGGCTTGGTGCAATGTCCCTGCTTGAATTCTACAGTAGGCTTCTGTCCAAACAATAATGTGCTGTGTAACAGTGTGATATTGGTAAGTCTGGGTAAGGCGAGCAGATCTCCTCACCTGAACGATAGTTTGGTTCTGCAAGGAGGACTTTGCTGTTATGTTTTCTAAACAAGAACCAGGTATGTGCACACATGTGTGATGCTCAGTCAACTTCTAAGAGACAAACAGCTGCAGCCAAAACATGGTTCTTGTTTCAGATTCGATGCAGTAGAGAAAAACATGCAGCTACAGGAAGGGAATGCCAGGTGCAAGTCCTCAAGACCAAGACATCAATGAAAACAAAACACTGCCCAGAGTCTCTTCTTGTGAGAGGGGTGGCCATAGAAATAAAATGATATTTAAATAAATATAAATAAATAAAGAAGAGAAGAGAAATTCGTATGGATAATATACCTTTATGAGTGGTGGATTTATGGTACAATAGGTGTTGAGAAAGCACATTCTGTTGAAGCTTCTGTCCCTAATAATATTACGTTCTCAATCTTCACTTTTAATGGTGAAAGTTGGACCTCAAATCCTTAAAGTGTTTGACCTCGAAAAGTCAAATGCTTAAGGATTCAGACAAAGTGACCATCTAGGTTTTGAGGGGTAGGGGGGGTTGAGTCAAACAAAGTTAATCTGGGACTTCAGATAAGTTGTTATTGTTCTAATGTTTCCTGATTGCAATTTGCTAATATTGTCACGGTATTTAATTTATATGTAGGATATTTCATGAGATTTCCTGGATTGCAAGACACAGAAATTGGAAAGAAACAAGACATGTGACATTACAGGTACTGCTACCCTGTTACTTCTAGCAGCCCTTCTCACTGACTAGGCTTTTTTAGAGCTGCTGCTAGTTGAAATTCACCAAATTTGGGAGGCTACTGGTGTAACCTACAACTGAAGACGTTCTCAGCTTCCTAAAACACTCTGTGAGCTTTCTTGCTAATTCTTACGGGACATTCAGATTTCATCCCAGCCAATTCTGTGTTGGAATTGGAATTCCCTATCCTCTGGGTTGGGTTCACATCACACAAGCTACAGATAAACTATGAAGGCTTGGTGCAATGTCCCTGCTTGAATTCTACAGTAGGCTTCTGTCCAAACAATAATGTGCTGTGTAACAGTGTGATATTGGTAGTCTGGGCAAGGCGAGCAGAAAAAGATGTTTAATGTGTATGAACAAAGATCCCTCGAGAGATACCAAAATGATTGAGATGACCGTTTCGGTTGGATTTAAGCACTGTGTAAGAACTGCGGTACTCAGTTCCCAGTGAAAACAACTCTCATTGAAACCAATGTAGATTCAAAGAAAAGTAGATTTATTGAGAAAGCAGTAGTGTACAGCTCTAAGGCATAGCTGGGACTGAGTTGCTTACACACCAGACTTAATTTTACTTCACTTCCACCTCACCCCCCGCCCCCCATTGATGAATCTCTTCTGTGTGTGTCCACGACATTCCTGGGCTCTCAGGTTGCCACCTTGGATGTCCTGGGAGCCAGATAACAACCCATCTGCGCTTAACGGTCTACCTTCCTTCCCTGCCCCTTTCTACTTTAATGGCAGAACCGAAGCAAGTGAACTAGCAGATTAATTGCAAGGATTCTGACACACTGCCTTAAGCCATAATGTGGTCTGCACAATTTTGTCATGTGTACCTTGTCAGGTTGTGTGTAAATCAAGGTTTATGCCTAGCTTAATGGCAAACTTAACCAACTGTGATTGATTCAATAAAACACCATGATGCAGTCTATGGCTTAGTGCAGTGAGAACACAGTGATAGAATGTCAGGATACTTTTGGCCAGATGTACCACCCAACCCTGTGTGGCTTTACTTCGAAGTAATTCCCTTGTGTTCAGGAGGGTGATTTAATCCCCTGATAAATAAGAGCGTTGCTAAGTGAATCTCTATGGGTGGAGAATGCTGAGCTGATTATGAGAAGTTTTGGAAATAGGTGCGGATCTTGCTCAACTTTTGAATTTTTTTCTCACCGGTCCTCCGTCTGGCATTTAAAAACCTACGCAGTTTCTTCAGCCTGTCCTCTCTAGATACACAGTCTGAAGTGTGAAAAGGGAGACATTGTGTAGTGCCAAAGTCTGTGCTGAGGGGTTGGAGAGGACTTTCTTCTGCTGGAGAGGTTGAAGTGTGGAGTAACATCTCAAGCTGGAACAGGTAATCACAGGATTTCTCTGGGTCACTGGATTGATTTCCAAGACAGTACAGAGGCCCTTCAGACACTTGGCACAGTCAGCTGTTTTGGTGTTATCCAGCTGTCCCTGAAGATATATACTGTCTAAATTCTTCAGTGCATAACTAGAGATTTCAGGAAGTTTCTCTTTGATGAGGGGAAAAACATCCATGAAACCCAAGATGGAGTGTTCAAACTGCATTTCTTGGTTGATTTTATGCAGAGAATCAAACAGAGCGGGAAGGCCCATCGACCAAAGTTTGTACCCCACCAAAATGGGCGCACAGAGGATGCTGAGATAGTTGAGAAACAGATCCAGTCCAGAGTC